TTATTTAATCATGTTACAGCTGGTCATAACTTGTGCTTTAGAAACCAGCAGGCTTTTTTTTTTTTTTTTAGGTGCTTTTTGTCTTTCAAATTCTAAAATCTAGTTCCTCTTATTTTCTGGTGTATATGTTGTTCTGGTGTAGAACTGGATAATAAACATTTCCAAAGGAAATCCATATCCTTCATCACATATGCTTGTAACATTATTACTTCTTCCTGTAGTCAGTCACTTTACTAATTATTAGGATGCATGCTATAGTTCACAGCCATATAAGGATCTATTTATCTATATTAAGAACTAAATTTCCACCCTGCCACTTTCCCCTCAGTAAGGTACAATTTGAAACTTGATCAAAAAGTAATGTGATAGCTTTATAAAAAATTATATAATTTTTGTTAACTGAAGAACAAGAATGAAGATCATACTGTAATAGAATAATATACTCCTTTTCACTGGGTGGGAGTATGAGATAACCAGATTTAAGAGTCTTTTAAAGCCGAACTAGAATCTGCAGACTCTTCAAATGCTTACCAAATAAAGATTTCTGACCAACGTGTGCACAAGGAAATTAGTTTACATCCCCATATCTCTGACTCCGTTTCTCTCTGTCTCAATCTCTTTCTGAGACTGCACAATTCAGATCTAACATGTTTGGTTTGGATACCTCCTCACCTTAAGAAAACAGGACACAAACAAATTTGTAATTATTTAATAATTTATCTGGTAAAGAGATCAATCTCATAAATTTTAGTTGTTTTTCCTAGTTTGTTGATGTAGAGAAATACAATTTTATTAATTTTAAGTCCAGAATGCTTCTTAAACTCTTATTGATATTAATACATTTGTATGATCATTGCATCTGTGATTAACAACAGTTTAACTTTTCCTTTCTGATGAATCCTTACAAGTTGTAAGGATTTGTTTGATTTTTCTTACTCCCCTGATTAGTACCCACAGGACTATATGAATAAAGTGATGGCAACGTTGCTTCCTTGCTTCAGATCCTAAAATGAATGCATTAAGCATGATGTGTGCTGAGTGTGGGCTTTTTTCCAGAAACCCTTTCTAAAATCCTGTCTAGTTTCCTTCTATAGCTAAAATGACTAAAGAAACTATTATCAGAAGGGATGTTGAAATGTATTGAATTTTTCTTTTTTCCTGCATCTTCATTAGTTTCTGCTATTATCTTTATTTTCCTTCCATGTACTTCAGGCTTATTTTTTCTAACTTTTTTTTAACTTCCTGAGTTGGTTCATTTTATTCTCTCTTTATTCTAATGAGCATGTTAGGTGTACCTTTTCTCCTAAGCACCCTTTTAGTTGTGTTCTGGAGTTGAAGAAACAATAGTTTTGTTTTCTTTTAATTTGTATTGTGATTGTTTCAATAGTGAATTTTTTAGGAGTCTTTTAAAACTGCTTTCTTTTTTTAAAGTTAATTATGTTGAGAGAGAGAGGGAGAGAAAGAGAGAGAGAGAGAGAGAGAGAGCAGGGAAGGGGCAGAGAGAGAGGGAGACAGAGAATCCCAAGCAGGCCCCATGTTGTCAGCGCAGAGCCCAATTTGGGGCTCAAACCCACGAACTATAAGATCATGACCTGAGCTGAAGTTGGATGCTTAATTGACTGAGCCACCAAGGCACTCCAAAATTACTTTTTGTTACTTTTTTGCTATTGATTTCTAGGATAATTATATTCTGTTTAGATAATGTGGTTGATGGTGATTCTTTGGGCATTTCTTTTCTTTTTTTTAAAAATAATTTTAATGTTTATTTATTTTTGAGAGAGAGAGAGAGAGAGACAGAGTGTGAGTGAGGGTGGGACAGAGAGAGAGAGAGATGCAGAATCCCAAGCAGGCTCCAGGCTCTGAGCTATCAGCACAGAGCTTGACATGGGGCTTGAACTCATGAACCATGAGGTCATGACTTAAGCTGAAGTCAGAAACTCAACTGGCTGAGCCACCCAGGCACCTCCTCTTGGGCATTTGAGACTTTGTCTATGGCACAGTATGTGTTCAGTTTTCTGAAGTGTTTCAAATGTTTCCCAAAAGCAGGTGTTCTTCAGTCACTGGATAAGATATTTTTTTATGTGTTTGCTTGTTCAGGCTTATGGTGTTGTTCAAATCTTTATTTCTAATTTTTTAGCATTACTATAATGTTTGTCTATTAAAGTTTTGGTGTTTTTTTATATAATTTGAATTTAGGTTATTAGGCTATATTAATTTTAGAATTGTTACATCATAGAGCTGATTTTAAACTTCTGTCACTGTGTAGTGACACTCTTTAATACTAATTAAATGAAAAAGCATTAAAGTGCATGATATTAAGGGTGTCTTACTTTTTGCTGGTATTTGCCTGATGTATCTTTTTACATCCTTTCACTTTCATCCTTTCTGTGTCCTTAAATTTTAAGTGTTTCTTCCAAGTTGTGTATAGTTTGATTGTGTTGTATTATCCAGTCTGAAATCCTTTGTCTTTTAACTGGAGAATTGAGTCCATTTATTGTGACTTTCGGTATATTTGGATTATATCAACCATCTTAATTTGTGCTTTCTAAATGTCCTAAGTTTCTTTTTTTCCCTCTTTTACTGCCTTCTGTTTAATTAATTGAATTTTATATTATCATTCCATCTTCTCTATATAAGTTTGAAATTATATGTACTATTTCCTCTTTAGTTATCTAAATAGCTTAACATGCATGCTTTAACAACATCTAATGTACATCTTCAATATGTTCCTGAACAATGTAAGGATATTCAAATGGTTTTTAAAACTTTCACCTCCTCCTTCTGATTTATACACTCTTTTTGCCCTATATTTACTTCCAGCTTAGGTTTTTAACACCACAATATCTGTCTACTTTGTTGTTTTCCTCTGTCACCTTTCCAGCTTCTGCTTCTTTGCCAGACTCCTTCCCGAGTCCTCTACCTTTTCCCTCTACTCTTGCCCAGGAAGTGAAAGTGATCTATTCAATTTAAATGCTACTGTGCCATTCCCTGACTCTCAAATTTATATTTTCTACCAGCCTACAGTTTTTAACACTAGAACTATATATCCTACAATCTACTTGATATCTTTATCCTGTTTCATAGGCATTTCAAACTTTTCAGTAGTTGAATTTTGGAGAACTTTCATCAACCTTCCCCCCCAATACCTAAAATCTATCCTTCTTTTATATTTATTGTTTTAATAAGTTACACTCCTCCTACCAGGTTACTCATCCTAGAAACCTGGGTTAATTTTTTGACAGACTGGGTCTTTCCTTTACACATCCAAATCAACCACAAAGTTTAGTCACTTTTACATTCAAGATCTTAAATCTGTTCCTTTTTTTTTTTTTTATCTTCAATGTTAAATACTCTAGTCCAAGCTATAACACATCTTACGTAGAGTACAAAAATAACCATCCAAGATATAAATTCCACTTGTGAAGTAGTACTGGATCCCTGTTACGTAGAACCGTGCCTTGCAAACTGGATGCACCATTGACATGTTAATTGGTCTCCCTGCTTCCAATTATGTCTACCCCTAATCCACTCTCATAGGTGTGACAGTTTTTGAAAATTGTGTTATTCCATTACCTAAAAGCCTTCAGTGCCTTCTCCTTATTCTAATAATGAAAGCCAAATTCTTTAATGTATCCTACAAGTCCCTGCATGATCTCATGCCTACCTTACCTCTCCAACCTTGACACTCCTCATTTATTTACTTCACTGCAATCATACCAGCACTCTCAGACTATGGGACCTAAAGGCACGAGCTCTTTCCTAATTCAGGACTACCACAAATACTCTTTCTACTCAATATTTGGAGGCTTTTCTTCTTCTTTCTTTACTCCATCACAAATACACACACATTTCATACTTATTTTATGCATCCTTCAGATCTCAACCTAAATATATTACTTTCTTATGGAGTATTGTTTTTATGGAGTCCTTTTATCACCAGTTCCAAGTCAAAATTATACCCTCTCAAAGTGTCTTGTACTTTTCTTTCCTATCACCAATGCAGTAATAGGGTATATCAATAAGGTACATTGCTTAGCACATGGACACTTGTATGTGTTGCATGAAAGAATGATTACCTGCTAGACCAGATTGGGGAAGGAGAGTGGTGTCTTTCATTTAGTGGTATCTTCCATTTCATTTTTCAAAAAGTCCAGAGACTTTCATTTATCTTTTTTTATACATATGAAAGCACATCGTAAGTGGTCACTGAGTGTTTGAAGAAATAAAAGAATGGGAAAGGAAAGAAAGAGAAAGGAGAAAGGAAACAGGAAATGAAAAAGGAGAGGAAAGGATATTAGAAAGGAGACAGGAAAGAAAATGAGGAAAGCTAAAGCTACATCTAGGATTATAGTCCCTGATCAGAAAAGCTATATAAACCACCCTCTTACTTAAAAAAAAACCCAAAAAACAAAACCTTGGGTAATGGCTATGAAATAAGTGTCACCATGCAAAAAAATATGAAACCTCTTTCTATAATAGGTTTTGGTAATTTTATTTACTTATCTATTTAACAAAATGAGGAATGTTCAGACATGCCCCCTTGAGCATACACTTGTCAATCAAAACCTAACTTTTTAAGGTTTTATAAAAGGAATACATTTCTATGTTTCCTTGCTTAAATTTATGGATAGCTACTTAGAATCCTCCACCCAATGGCTTGCCTTTCCATACCATTATATGGAATATATATAAAAGTATTTTTTTAATGTGTATTTAGTTTTGAGAAGCAGTGAGAGACAGAGCACAAGGAAGGGAGGGGAAGGGAAGAGGGAGACACAGAATCTGACGTAGGCTCCAGGCTCTGAGCTATCAGCACAGAGCCCGATGTGGGGCTTGAACCCAAAGACAGTGAGATCATGACCTGAGCCGAAATTGGACGTTCAACCGACTGAGCCACCCAGGCACCCCATAAAAGTATTTTATAACCTATAAATGTTTGAGCATATTTGCTTATTGATTAGGTATAATTAGTTATTGCCTACTTATCTCCAAAATTATAGAAAAATATGTCGTAACTGCAAGTGTGGCCAAGAAGAACATGATGTCCTCTTGAGCAATGAAGAAGATCGAAAAGTTGGAAAACTTTTTGAAGACACCAAATATACCACCCTGATTGCCAAGCTAAAAACAGATGGAATTCCCATGTATAAACGCAATGTCATGATACTGACCAATCCTGTTGCTGCCAAGAAGAACGTCTCCATCAATACAGTTACCTATGAATGGGCTCCTCCTGTCCAGAATCAGGCATTGGTAAATAATAAGGGGAAGGGCAGTTAAAGTTCTGGGGCTACTTATTTAGGGCAGTTCTTTAGTGACCTAATCAACCTCGAGATTGAGGTTCATTATTTTTCTTGGATTCCCATTACTTTGACTTCTAACTGCTATTGGCTTTTTGAAGCTAAGATTAGATACTTCGTAGAATTTTCTTGACTACTTAGATATGTTCATCTTTTTGAAGGAATGGTCTGACATTCTTAATAATTAGATGCAACACAGATGTTTTGTATAAATCTAGTAATTTCTAACTTACTCTTGAGAAGATTTCTCTTAAGATAGCAAAGAATATGTAAAGAATAGAATTTCTGTCATTTTTTTAGAACAAAAAAATGTTCAACATTATATCTTACTATGTAAGGCCAAAAAACAGCAATTTTGTGTCAAACTCCCTTTATTGTTAATCACAACTAAATATGACATTTGGAAGCCTTTTAAGAAGATTAGTTAAAATCATTCAAGTGAATCTTGTGATAATATTTTTTTGATAATTTTTTTATAATGATGAGAACATTGCTAATCTATATAGGTCATTCTAAACATCTAAACATGCCTTCTAAAAATTTATGCTCTCTTGCAAATATACATTTGTATATTTAGCTCAAGTAGACATTAGTAACTGAAATCTTTTATAAGCTGAAAAAAAAAAGCTTCAGTTTCATGGAGAAAATGTGTTTATTTTTACTGAACTAAATCTATTTACTGTACCTTTTTGGAATGTGTTTTCATCTCAACATATTTATATTATGAAGACTGTTACAAATGGATAGTCACATTTCTTTCTTAAGTAACTCGCTTCTGATGTGTATTATAAAATATTGCTTGCCTAATGGCCAGACCGTCTCCCAGTTAACACTGGTCTCCTTGTGGCTCAGGCCAGGCAGTACATGCAGATGCTGCCGAAGGAGAAGCAGCCAGTGGCGGGCTCCGAGGGGGCACAGTACCGAAAGAAGCAGCTGGCAAAGCAGCTCCCTGCACATGATCAAGACCCTTCAAAGTGCCATGAGTTGTCTCCCAAGGAGGTGAAGGAGATGGAACAGTTTGTGAAGAAATATAAGAGTGAGGCTCTGGGAGTAGGAGATGTCAAACTTCCGCGTGAGATGGATGAGCAAAGCCCCAACAGAATGTTCCTCCCTGGCGGGGATAGAAGCACCACGGCAGCAGTGGGGGCCATGGAGGGCAAATCGGCCGAACACAAAAGAACTCAGTATGTAAGTGGAGAGGTCACACCGTTGGCTCAGTTGGTGTATTTACTGGTTATTTCCCTTTCTTTGAACATTTTTTTGAGAAGCCATTCCTCTGTTTCGAAAAGGAGTAGGTGAAGGAAATAAATTAAAATTCAGTTTAGGTTTATTTTAGTGAATCATCATGTTAGAAACCTCTCTCTAAAGTGAGATTTTCTGATTATCTGTTGCCAAGGATAATTGTGAGTTGTATGTGTATGTGGTAGTTAGCATTGGTGTCATGCTGGAATATGACATACTAATCTAGAATCTATTTCTAAACATAATTTTGGTGTTGTTTATCTCTCCCACAAACAAGAATAATATATGCTTAGGTTAATTCAGTTTTGCTTGTGAGAACATGCCTAAAATTCAGATTTAAATTTATGTGAGTATACAGTTGACCCTGAAAAATGGGTTTGAACTGTGCAGGTCCCCTTATCGCAGATTTTTTTTATTAATACAATATAGTACTATAAATGTATTTTCTCTTCCATAGGATTTTCTTAATAATTTTTTTCTAGCTTTATTTTAAGAATACAGCATGTAATACATATATAATACATATAGCATACAAAATATATATTAATGGACCATTTATGTTATTGGTAAGACTTCCAGTTAACAGTAGACTATTAGTAGTTAAGTTTTGAGGTAGCCAAAATTTATATGTGGAACAAAAAGTTATTCATGGATTTTTGACTGTGTTGGGGAATCAGCACCCCTAACCCTGGTATTGTCTGAGGATCAACTATATAGTCAATCATATTTTTAAAAAATCTCCTAGAGAGAGAAATTGAAGTCTTTTTTTATGCCTCTAAAGTAGAACATTATGACACAGATGAACAAGAAATAAGAGCTAAACTTAGTGTAATATATTTCCATAGATCCAACCAATAAGGCTTAGTCCTGTTAAAAAACAAGAAAAGGTACTAATAAGTTCTAAGATAATCATTTTGAGACAATCACTTAAAAATTGTGAAAATTACTGTTAGCCTTTTTCTGTAAGTGACTTTAATTCAGGAAACAGTGCTCTGTTACCAGCAGGGCACAAAAGTTAGGTTTAAAGAGCCTGGAGGAAGCCAAGGGAGTCTACTTCCTAGAAGTACTGACACGTGATTGTCTCCATGGACAAATTACTAATGTTAGTAGAAATGATTTCTCTTGTAAATTGTTTCTCTGCATCCCTAGTAAACTGATGATGAGAAATATCCAGCCTACAATGACCATATTATTTTGGATGGCTTCCCTTTCAGTCCTGCTACTGCTGCAAACTGAATATGAAGGAGGGTGACCCAGCCATCTATGCTGAAAGAGCCGGTTATGATAAACTGTGGCACCCAGCCTGTTTTGTCTGCAGTACCTGCCATGAACTCCTGGTTGACATGATTTATTTCTGGAAGAATGGGAAATTATACTGTGGCAGACATTACTGTGACAGTGAGAAACCACGATGTGCTGGCTGCGATGAGGTATGTTCTCTCCTTCTTGTACTCCCATAGAGTCCCCTTACCATCTACCAAGGCATCCTTAGCAGAAAGGTGACGTGAATTAACCAAGCATCAGTTGCTTTATTTATATGCAGAGGAGATGAGTAGAAAAGAAAAACTTTTAACTTCATTCTGAGCGACTGTGTTAATTGTGTTGACTAATGAAAGACTGTCCACAAACATAAAAAAATTGATTTGGGCTAAACTAAATAATAACCCGAGTGTAAGCTTTAGGTTATTTTTAGACTTTGAGCCCAGGAAAGTAGGTTGATATTATCTGTGGATCTAAAACCCTTATTGGTCTAAAGAACCTGGCTTTGTCATTTGTACCAAGAAGGAAAATAATATGATTCATCTTATTTTTGCCCTATTTCCAGTTAATATTCAGCAATGAGTACACCCAGGCAGAAAACCAAAATTGGCATTTGAAACATTTCTGCTGCTTTGACTGTGACAACATCCTAGCTGGGGAAATATACGTGATGGTCAATGACAAGCCTGTGTGCAAGCCCTGCTATGTGAAGAATCATGCTGTGGTAAGGAGCATTCTAGGTATATGATTGCCCTGACCTGCTTTAGAACTTTACTTTATGCCTTTATTTGACCCTCTCACAGATGAGAAACAGATGGTAATTCCCTTAAGTAGGAAATATGTAATCTCTACCACAGGGTGTTAAAGTCTAGGTAATTCAAAAACAACATACGTTGACTATGAGCTACCTCAAGAGTTCTATCTGTACCGTATATTATGTAGATTATAAGCACTACTCAGTAATCTAATCCCCACTAAAAAAAAATTCTTTAGTGGGAATGAGATTGATTGATTCTCATCATATAGATCAGAGTCATTTACATTAAGATTTTTAGGGGCTGTTCATATTCCTTAGCTGTATTTGAGTGTTTATGGTTTCTGTTCATGTTCCTGAAGCTCCCCCACTATGGCATCATTTTTAAATTTTTAACCTAGAGATTGTACAATACCTATTTCTTAAACCTTCATTGTGAATTGATTTAGTATAACAAAATTTGACCTTTGTGTTTAGATTTATCTGCATCAGCCAACCATTCAAATAACTAATGATAAATATATTTAAAATGTAAATATATTTATAAAATATTAAATATAATATAAAAACATATAAAAATAAATATATTCTTTTCTTAGCTCTACCCTGCTTAAACAGAGCTGCTATTACATGATGGCCAGGAGATAAGTAATTTAGATAAAGAGTAGATAAGGAAAGTTGACCATATATGGTAAAGCTTTTAATCCAGGGGTATTAAAATGATAGACATTTACTTCTTTATAAGCAGGAAAATATGTACTAGTTAAAGACTCCCATGAGCTATCAAGTAAAGCAAACTCCTGGCTAAGGAATAAAATGACATATTTATATCATTCCAGGAGTGTAATACTATGGAAAATAAGGTAACCAGTTTTGATGCCAGTGGCAAAATTTTCAACCTTTATACATTCCCGAGTATCATTCATTTTCTATCAATTCTGCCTCATCAGTAAATCTCAGATCCTCACAGTTACAACTACTCTACTTCAGACCTTTTTTTTTTTTTTTTTTTTGGTCATTTGGATTATTGCAGTGATCTCAAATTTGGTCTTCCCCCTTCCATTCTTCACCTTGTCCAAAGCCACCGTAATGATGGAAGATAATCTTTCTGAAATGCAAATCTAATCATCAAGCCTTTGCTTAACAGATCTAGCTCTTTCTTGTCTGCCCAGCCTCTTCTACTGGTTATCCAGCTCAAATCAGACATTTCAACAAGTTATTCGTTTTCTAGTTTATACACTATTCTTGGCCCTCTATTTACACTAATTCTTTTGTCTGATGCACCTTCCTTATTCCCTATTTTAACTGACATGCCTGTATCTTCCCCCAGATTTGGTGTAGGCTTAACTTTTTTTAGAACATCTTTCTTAATTTTTTGCCCCAAGCTCCACCCCTTTTTCTCTGGCTAGAATTCCTCTCTGTGTTCCTATGAGGCACATCTGTGTGTAACTAATACTACCCATCTGTCTCCTCCTCTAGACTATAAGTAGCTGGTGGATAGAGCTTGCCTCTTATTTCCATGTCCTTAATGTTTGCCCTTAGGAAATGTTAGAGCGACTGATTTGTGTTCTAATATTTCTCATTTGTTTTGGGATCAACAGGGACTTTTGTTGTACTTGGGGAAAAGATAGTGAATCAGCATGTGGCCTGGTACATAATTTAGCTAAAAACTGTTTCTATGAATATTGTTCCTACAATTTCTCTAAAGGAAAAGGATTGTCATAATATGTATTTTATTGTAGCGGTGTGTGACCTTGGTCTCAAGGACTAGGAAGCAGACTCCATGGGGGCAGAAATTTTGTTTGCTTTGTTTTATATTTCCAACACTAGAACAGCACAGTAGATACTCAATAAATATTTACTGAATAAAGCTGTAAATAGATGGAAGTGCTTTATTTAACTGTTAGAAGCTTCTCTTCATTACATTGTGACTAACCAATAGAGAATAATAACCACAGCTATTATTAAGAGAGAGAGAGTCTAAATTATTTAGCCTTACAATATGGCATGCTTTCTTTTAGAAAATTGACTTTCTCAGTAAGATGTACTACTGCCCTTTGTCTAAAATTAAAATTAACACTTCTCTCCATTGCCTGAACAAACCAGCTCATGACAAAAAAGAGCTACTCATGCCACATACTAAATGGTGTAAAATTTTGAAAATTGTCTAGTTCAAGGCATCAGTCTGCTTAGATCTTTCAATCTTCAAACAAACAAACAAACAAACCTGAACCTACAACCTATTTGTAGACCTGAAGGTAAGAACTCAACTCAAAACAGGACATTTCTGAAATAAAAAATAACTTGGAAAGAAGATAATGGGAAATATACCTACTTTGTCTCAGCATGGTCTTTGGAATTCTGGTCTCAAATGGGCACCCTCTGAATTCACATCTCTGAGATTTCACAGGAACCTCCCTCCAGAGAGCTCATTAAAACCAGTGTCATTAGCTTTATCACATTGTGTATAAAAACACTAAAAGAAGTAGGAGAAATTGAAGGAAAGAAGAACTAATTGAAATATCATAAGTTTAAGAATCCAGAGAACTCAAATGCTAAGCAGAAAGTGGTAAAGCACATTTCCCAGATTGTTTCCGTAATCCCCAGACCCTCTATGAAGCCTAGGCAACTTTCAGATTTATGAAAAATTAGGGGCAGTAGATCTTAGCTGGGACTGTATGTCAGACTTTGGGATGAATGACAAATTATTAGCAAAGCTAAATTATATGAAACCACAAACCCTAAAAACCCATACCATGCAGTGGGGCGCCTGGGTAGCTCAGTCAGCTAAGTGCTGACTTTGGCTCAGGTCATTATCTTGCAATTGGAGCCCCGCATCGGGCTCTGTGCCAACAGCTTGGAGCCTGCTTCGGATTCTGTGTCTCCCTCTCTCTCTCCTTCTTCCTCACTCATGCTCTGTCTCTCTCTCGCTCAAAAAAAATAAACATTAAAACAATTTTTTTTAAAAAAAACCTATACCATTCAGTGTGTTCATTAGTTCATTTTTTTAACCTAAACAATTTCCTCAATTTTTATATACAATTGAATAGTAGTTATCTCTTTTTGAAAATCACAAATGAAAGGGGTGTCTGGGTGGCTCAGTCAGTTAAGCGTCCAACTCTTGGTTTCAGCTCAGGTCATGATCTCACAGTTCATGGCATCAAGCCCCACATCAGGTTCAGCTTTGACGATGCAAAGCCTTCTTGGGATTCTCTCTCTCCCTCTCTTTCTGTCCCTTCCCCACTCATGTTCTCTCTCTCAAAATAAATACATATAAATAAATTCTAAAATCACAATGAGTTTTAAAAGATTATAAAAAGATCCACAAGTAGTATTAGAGGAATGAGATAAAGAAGGTATGTCATGGTCTAAAAGCAAGGGATTAAAAGAATTTAGTGTGACATGCTTCTGTTTTATACAGGCAAGTTTAAAATATAGAAAAGTTAATATGATACATAGAAGACTACCAAGAACAAAATTCTAAATATAAAGCTACAAAATAGGAATATTCGAAAAAACAACTGCTTGCATGGCACAGCTACAAATTAAGAGTGCATTTGTAATTAAAACACTCATTTCTCTTGTATTCAAGAAGAGTGTATTGATCATGGAAAGAGAATTTCTCCCTTGCTCTCAGGAAACACTAGGTTGACATAACGTGTGAATTAAGCAGCTATAATCTCTGTAACTAGAAGCCATGTAGCTCTATAAAGTATGGAAAGTATATTGTGTGTTTGAAGTGGATATTTGTAACAGGGTCTCACTTCACACCCTAAACTAGTTTCCCCACTGAACAGCAGCCTCATTTTAAAGTCTTCCTAAGTAAGGAGGCTCAGGCTAAATGACCTACCTTCATCTCTCAGTGATTCCTGACAGACATTAAGAGACCAAAGGTGCTGAGATTAGACACTTTCATGTAATGTAGGACAATTTGTTGCTTTCTTCACTTGTTATAAAATACTTAAGACAAAACTTTAGATGGTCACATTCATTCAGAACATGCATAAACAAGAAGGCCTATGGACTATCTAGTGTTTTGGAGGTCTTAAGAGGGTAGTTTTGTTTTCTCCTATAATACTGGGAGTTGTTCATTTATTTTCTTCATATACATGCTCAGCTAAACCAGAAAATTATGTATGTCTCTGGGTGTGGATGTGCATGTATGCGGTATATTTATTTGTGCATAACATACACTGAATGGTATAAAGAATGTAAGTATTAATGTTTTACAATATTAGATTATACATAAATTATGACTTAGAACAGAAGCCAATTCACTATAAGTTATATTTTTAGTGCAAGCTAATTATTCTCAAACACTGTCAGTATTTTTAATTGAGTCCTTAATTACTTTGAACATGATTTTCACTTCATACTGTCTAGAAATTACTGGTGTTAAGAATCTTATGTGTCAGAGGTAAGGCTAGTAAAATTACTACTTCAAAGCTTTAAAGAGTGAGGAAAAATCTTTTTAAGACTATTTTTTAAGAGCAGTTTTAGTTTTAAAACAAAATTGAGAGGAAGACACAGCAACTTCTTATATAACCCCTATGATCAAATATATATAACCTCACTCATTATCAACATCACTGACCTGAATGCTACATTTTTTACCAAGGATGAATCTACATTGACATACCATAATCACCCAAAGTCCATAGTTCACCTCAGGGTTTATTCCTGGTATTGTACAGGAATATTGTACAATATTGTACAGGAATGGATGAATGACACACATCCATCATTATAATATCATAGAGAATATTTTCACTGACCTAAAAGTCCTCTGTGCTTTACCTGTTCCTCTCTCCCACCTCCCTATCCCACCCCTGGCAACCACAATCTTCTTATTTTCTCCATAGATTTGCCTTTGCCAAATGTCATACAGTTGGAATTATACAGTATGTTGCTTTTTTAGATTGACTTCTTTCCCTCAGCAATATGCATTTAAAATTCCTCCATGTTCCATCAACAGATGAATGGATCAAGAAGATGTGGTTTATCTATACCATGGAATACTACATGGCAATGAGAAACAATGAAATCTGGCCATGTGTAGCAGCATGGATGGACCTTGAGGGTGTTATGCTGAGCGAAATAAGTCAGGCAGAGAAGGACAAATATCATATGTTTGCACGTATAGGAGGATTAGGAGGAACTTGACGGAGGAACAAGGGGGAGAAGAAGGGCGGAAATGGTGGGGGAAGGGGAGAGAGGCAAACCATGAGAGACTCTTGAATGCTGACAAAAACTGAGGACTGATGGATGTGGGGGGGAGGGGGGGTGGGCATGGAGGAGGGCACTTTGGGGATGAGCACTGAGTATTATGTAGAAACTAATTTGACAATAAACTATTTGTAAAAAAAAAAATAAATAAATAAAATAAAATAAAATTCCTCCATGTTTTTTATGGTTCAATAGCTCATATCTTTTTAGCACTGGTTAATATTCCATTGTCTGGATGTACCACAGTGTACTTATCCCTTCACCTACCAAAGGAAATCTTGATTGCGTCCAAATTTTGGCAGTTATGAACAAAGATCCTATAAACATCCATATGCAGGTTTTTGTGGGCCTACGTTTTCAACTCCTTTAGATAAACACCAAGGAGCACAATTCTGATTGTATGATAAAAGTAGGTTTAGCTTTCTAAGAAACTATTAAACTATCTTCCAGAGTGGCTATATATTTTGGATTCCCACCAGTAATGAATGAGAGTTCCTGTTGTTCCACATCTTCACCAACATTTGGTATTACAGGAAAAAAATCATAAGACTTTTTTTTTTATATAATTAGTAAGATGCAGTCTAGTAGAATACACTGGAAGGAAACTGCTTTGAAATTTGCCATCAGGACTTTCTGCCTCACACACCATGGGGATATCTTACAAGCATCACATCACCTGTTTGGCCTTCATCTGTTATTCCTCACATTGCTCTACATTTAGACCCCAATTAAGTTGGCTAAAAAGGTTAACCAGAAGGTCACTCTCAGTTGTATATTCTTGAGTGGCCCTTCTCAGTTTAATTTACCATCTGAAAGAAATGTTGTTCGTTCCTACATGACAATGTTACCATCACAGTTTGATGTCTCATCCTCTTCTCTTATTTGTGTAATTGACTTAACAGGTTTGTCAAGGATGCCACAATGCCATTGACCCTGAAGTGCAGCGGGTGACCTATAACAACTTCAGCTGGCATGCATCCACAGAGTGCTTTTTGTGTTCCTGCTGCAGCAAGTGTCTCATCGGGCAGAAGTTCATGCCAGTGGAAGGGATGGTTTTCTGTTCAGTAGAGTGTAAGAAGATGATGTCTTAAGAAAGCACCAAGAACTATTGAGCCATAGCTATCCTAAGTGGTCTGCATTTCTACTGTAAAATGCAATTTGGGAAAAATAAATGGGAAAAAAAGAAACTGTAAAGGAAACCAGGAGATTTTTGTTCAGTATCTTTCTTTGCTGTTTTTCCTTATCAATATTTTTCATCTCAATTTTTAAAACTTGCTTTAAGCATTTGATTTTTAATACAGTAAAGAACTATTATCTTTTCTTAGCTTTCTGTATGTAAAGTCTTGGAGGTGGAAGCTTGAGATTTAATTAATCTTCATGTGCCTATCCCTCTTGTGCCAAACACAGTGCATATGAACACTTAAAAATTAGTGCTGTTGAACAGAAAGATGCACATTTTCTAGTTCTGTATTCTCCCCCCCCCCTGTGTAAAATGAAAGGAAATTAAACTTGCCCTAATACCAAGGCTTTACATTTGTTGCCTTATCTTATTCACTGAACTGTGTAGTGATACACAGTGAATTGTTTTGACAGAAAATAGAAATGCAGCATATTATGGAGAGTTGTTATCATTTTAATGCCTTTGCTATTTTCTAATTTAGGCAGAGTTGGCTTTATTGCATTTCTCTCACTCTTTTCTTTTTTCTCTTTCTTTCCCTCCCTCCGTCTCTCTCTCTCTCTCTCTCTCTTTCTTTCTTTCTTTCTTTCTTTCTTTCTTTCTTTCTTTCTTTCTTTCTACTTGCCCTACCTCTCAGCATTCTCTCTGTCAGCTGGTAACCTCTGTGTGTCTGTCTGTGGCCTTAAGTACATTATTGTCACATGTGACATCCACACATTTTACTTCTATAGATGATTTTTGGCTTAGACATAAAAGCCAAGCCATTCATTTATATTATGTTTTCAATCCAAAGAACATGTATACTTTTTGTACCCAAGAAACTATAATTTGTACTGATTGCACTTGCCTACCATGGTTTGGATAGATTTTTTGCATGAATCCATTCTTTTCTAATGGATACTGTCCTACGATGCTTTTAAGCCTGTTCAAGGGTATGTATTGAATGTCTTCTTTGCCTGTATACTTCCATGCCTAGATATTTCTAATGTTTATTTTTACCTATATGCTTCCATACATGGCTATGCAATATAAAAATGAAACTAAATGAATGATATGTATATTCAAAATAAAGTCATTTTCACTTTAACAATTGTACCTTTATTCTTCATATCCTTTCCATTGAAGAGAGAAAAAAAATTCTGCAATTAAGCACTTGTCACAGCAGGGGGCGGTGTCTCCACGGATAAAACCTCATACAAAAATAAAGGCTTGTTTCTGACAAGACAGAAACTAGGCTTTTCATTATGGTGAATGGAAAACTTTAAATAAATCGAGGCATTTAAGTTGTTGGTTTTCAATTCATGCAGGAGTTTTTTCTTTCAGAAAAGAAAAGTCATTTTAACTGAAGTTTGAGTAAGCTATATCCTTTGAAGATGAATTCCACAAATATTACTCTTATACTTGAATTGTTTTTTGGTTTTCTAACAATTCTTCCTGCAACCTACTGTGAAAAAGGAAGCAAATGTGGAATAGTGGTAGATTATCTTTTCCTAGTATTAGTGGATCATGAGTTTTTTCCCCCCAGCCTGAAGTATTCCTATCATAGTGGATATAGTGGTTTTCTCTGACACATATTCAAAATAATTTGCTTTGGATTTTTTTTTTCCAGCTCATGATTTTCCGGGTGATGGCACTTTTCTTAAATTCCATACCCCATCCCACCATTCACAAACTATCACTAACACAGATATATATTTATTCCTTCTGCACTACGCCTTCCCCAGCCATGAAAAAGTATCTTTTGGGGCTTGAACACATATCACCTTATCTAAAGGAGTAATCTAATCCTACATACAATTTTAAATGCTTGTATCACAAATGTCCATCGTTGTCAATAAATAATCACTTTATGCTTGCTCTTTTTACTTTTATCTCAATGGCAAAAATATTTTTTCCATACCATTTTTTCCCCACAAAGTTGAACAAGTTAACTTTCCCAAGCATGGCTATGTGGCAATAAGTTGAAGCAACTCTTCCACATATTAACATGGCCACACTTTACATGTCTGCCTATAATCTACATTCCTGGGGCTGAGGTAGAATCAAGCTGCTTTGGGGATATTAGAGGCCCAAGAAATTTGACCAAATCCATCATTCACTACCCAAGATATTGACTGCATGTATATTAGGCATTTCCTAAAAGAATAAACTACTTTACCTGGGAAATACAGAGCTACTGGTTTTTACTTTTTGACTTTACATAATTTTTAGTTTGGTCTTGTAATAAAAAACAATGAACTATAATGAGATGTAATACAAGAGAATGAGTGCCACTTTTAATTGTTAATCAGTTTTTTTGGGAGGGAAGTGTCTTCAATACTTTGTCCCATAAACACTTAACAAAAGACCTAAGATTGTTACTAGATTCTCTAAGATTTATTTTTCCTCTAGTATTTCCTTTAGCATTTAAAGTGAGATCCCTCCCTCACCACCATCATTTTATATTCTTCATTGTCCTCAATTCTAAATAATGGCTTACTTGATACAGGGACCAAAGTTTAATCCTCCTCTTGCAAGAGAGAAATGATAGGAAAGTAATAAATATTTTTATCTGGATTCATGCATTGTTTTTCTTTAAAAGTAGACATTGAAGAATAAGCTTTGGTTCTAATTTCTCATGGGTCAATAAATGGAAATCTCTATCATCCAAATTCCATGTAAGTTCTAATAGAGATCTATCTTACCCTCTTTGTACTCAGTGTAGCAGGCATTTAACAACTATGTCTAAACAGTTAGCAGTAGAGAGACACTCACTCTGGAAGAAGAAGACTGGGAGGAAAAGGATACCAGAATGTGAACCATGATAAAGGCACCACAGAGAGTACGAGATGTCTTTTTCCCATCTGCAGAAGCCACCATATTGGATATTAAAAAGTAAAATGGTGACTTCTAATTCTCTTATTCCCTACTCAGCAGTGAGTACTTGAGGACAGAGGGGTTTCTTTCCTGACCCAGGAAGTTCAAAAGAAGATTTTGATACATCAGTTGCTGAAGAATAACTGAGGTAAAATATTTATCATCCTTACTGGAAGAATATGACTTGTTAGAATGATTAATCATGAACTCATTCGCAGAATCTGCACATATCCTGTTCATCTCTAAGCAGAAGAATTTTGCTTATAACCCTTGGATACAGTGATAATTTTTAGAAATCAGTGGATTTCAGTTATTTGATCCCATTAAGAAATATGAGTTGCTCAAGCGACACGCTAGTCTATTTATTGTAGAATATCGTTTTTTTTTTTTTTAAATAAAGACCTGTGAGGCTTGTTCTTTAACCAACTTTAGCTGAGGTTTCTGAAGTCTTCAAGCATAGATTTCCAAATCTGACTTTGAAATATTTCAGCCCAATTTTACCCACAAGAGATTCACTATTGACTCATTCTTAAGGAATTTCCAACACACAGTATTTAAGCTCATCCAGCTTCACCATGGTTACCAAAGAGACACCATAACCCAAGATCAGTATTAAGCCTTTGTCTTAAGATGCCCTGGCATATCTGAACTTGTCTCCTGGGTATTCACTTAATTCCTCAGAAAACTTATGACTCCCTCAATGTCTCCATAAAATAGCATTTTACCACAAATTCTTACTCCTTCCTGACGTCTCCTGATTTAAATGTTCAATGACAGCTTTTTCATTTGTTTATCAGGATATTTAAATAGCTGTAGCTAATTACTTTGTCTCTTCATGGGGGAAAACATGGCATTATAGCTTCTATTTAATCTGATCATATATTTTGAAACACTCAAAACAAGATATCATTAATGCAAGTTTTGAATGGCATTTTATTCTGACATTTATGAAGGCTGCTATTGAGTTTTCTTCAATGATACTTCACCCCAGAATATCTTGACCTGCAGATAATAACAAAATAACTTGCACCCAGTTGTCTTTACTTGAGTCAGCCATTACTGAATGCAGAAATATTAGAGTTGATGCCCCGTAAATACTGACAGACTGTGAAGGCATTATGATATAGTTCAAAGGAGGGCCAGGTTTAGGAGTCTAGAGACTTTCTGTCCAAGTCCCATTGATTGTCCCTCTCCTCCTCACAGTTTTAGCTGAGTAGGATAGAGGACAAATAATTGAATTCGAGGAGTCCAGGAAATAGTAGGCATACATCTACCAATATGTTGAAGTTACCAAAAATAACAATAGGGAAAATGGTAGAGAGAAGAATGAGCCAGAGGCCACGGTTACCAAAAAATGTTAAGACTATCCTGGAATTTGATAGGAGATGACAACTAAGGGTAGAAATAGGTGGTAAAGTCTGAGGCTATCTACTATATATACTTTAAAAAGCTGTGATTTTGTTAGGGAAAAAAAGGAATTAGTGGAAATGACAACAGAGAATGAGGAAGACAGACACCACAGGGACTGTGGAATGCCCATATGAGAGCAAAAATAACTGGCCTCTACTAGAGAATACTACTGAAGAAACAGAAACCTTGAAGGATAATTGGCTACAAACAAGGAAATGAGGCAGTTGAGGGTGCAGGGAGTTTGCAGTTCACAGAAACTGGATGCGGAGGAAATGGAGGAAAAGTTAAGAGAGTGTGGGAAGGGATAGGGCCAGATAAAAATTCAAAATGCAGAATGGATATCAGATTTCCAAATGAGGCCAAAAAATCTAGATGTCTGGGGTAAACAGAACAGAGAGACATACCAAGGTTAGTTCCGGTAGTTTGCTAGTGAAGAATGAGTCATCAATTAGGAATGCTTTTGGCTGTAAATAACTAAAAACACAGCTAAGAGTGGCTTAAGGACAAAACGTAGACTCGCCCAAATTTGGCTCAGAACAAGATCTCTCTAATCTCTCTGCTCTGCCATCCTGTGTGTGTTGCCTTCCATTCTCAAGTTTGTCCTTTCATTCCAGCACCCCTCCCTCACATAACAATACCCAAAGTATAAGGCAGAGGAGGAGCAAAAGGTATTTTACTCTCTTAACAAGGAGTAAAGTCTTTTTTAGGAGCTCCTAGCAGACTTATCTAGCCTTCCATTTCATTGGCTAGAACTAGGTCACCTCACAGAAAAAGGAAAGCCATCGTTATGGTTGACTTGTCCAGTCCTAAGGGATGGGCATATGATGACCCAAAACAAAATTAATTTGCTGCTATAGGAAGAAGGGTAATTGCTGTTGTGTTGCCAAACAATTCAGCATTATGGTGAATTATTATTTAGAGTTCAGATTCTTTAGCTGTAGGGTATGAGGTTGTTGGGAAGCTGTTTATTTCTGAAACTTGGGGTTTCTGTTGGCTTGTGAGATGAGACAAGGGGATCATTTGGGGATATCTTTCTTAAGCAAGAGGCCATTTAGGATGGCCAGAGGTGATG